CTCCTACATTCATCTTAGAGATAGCATCAACAATGATGAAGGTAGAAACAGAGGCATTGGTCAGTTGTGCATATTTCCATTCATTTTCATAGGAAGCCCAAGATACATGCATGAACGAATTCAAGATGCCAAGACCTATGTCAGAACTTATGGAATGCCAGATCTCTTTATCACTTTTACCTGCAATCCTTCTTGGAAAGAGGTGAATTATGAGGTTTTCCAGGACAGTCTGCGAAGGACCAACAAGATTTGTTGGCCAGAGTTTTTCGACAAAACCTCATCAAAATGATGCAACTCTTAAAAAAAGTATGAAATCTTTGGCCCTACACGATGTGACATGTACACTACAGAGTGGCAGAAAAGAGGCCTCCCTCATGCACACATTCTCTTCTGGCTAAAAACGAAAATCCAATCTAATCAAATAGACTCAATTATTTCTGCAGAGCTTCCAGACCCTATAAATGACCAAAGCTTTAACACTATCAAAAGAACAATGATTCATGGACCATGTGGGCATTTAAATCCAACGTCTTCATGCATGGAAAGCGGAAAATGTGTGAAAAAGTATCCCAGGAAACTGATAAAAGAGACCCAAACTGGTGAAGATGGATATCTTCTCTACAGAAGGAGAAAGACTGAAGATGGAGGATTTACAGCCACGATAAAAATGAGAAATGGTCAGTATGTTGACACTGACAATCGATGGATAGTGCTTTATTGTCCCCTGTTGTCAAAGAACTTTCATGCACACATCCTTGTTGAGTTTTGTAACTCAGTCAAGTCAACCAAATATGTCTGCAAGTATGTCAACAAGGGATCTGACGCTGCTATGTATGCTTTTCAAGACCAAAACACAAATGATGAAGTGTCTCACTTCCAAATGGGAAGGGATATTAGTAGCAATGAAGCATTTTGCCGCATTTTAGGATTTCCAATTCATGAACGACATCCCACCATCCAACAACTTATTGTCCACCTAGAAAACAGACAGAGTGTCTATTTCACTGAAGAAAATGCTTTGCAACACGCATTGGTTCCAAACAATACAACACTGACTGGATTCTTCAAGCTTTGCCAAGATGATCCCTTTGCATGCACATTATTTTATTCTGAGGTCCCATCTTTTTACACTTGGAACAACAACAAATGCAATAGGTGAAAAAGTGGTACTCCTGTAGATGGTCATCCTGGGGTTTTTAAAGATGAAGTCTTGGCAAGGGTCTATACTGTTCATCCCAGCCAGTAAGAGTACTTTTACCTTCGTATGCTACTTCATGATGTGAGAGGCCCGACATCCTTTGAAGATTTGTGTATTGTCCAAGGTCAGCTCTGTGCTGCCTTGAAGATGATGCACAGTGGAAGTCCACTCTGACAGAAGCAGCAGTCTCAGTCACCAGCCAGCCTCAGAAGTTTGTTTGCTGTTTTGCTGCAAGTTTGTGGTGTTTCAAATCCAGTTGCCCTCTAGCAAAATCACAGAGAAGATCTGTAAGAAGACTTCAAGCAACAGGCTCAACTACAAAATCTCAATATAGGAGTTTGCTGCAATGATGCCATTTTTAACTTGGCTCTTATTGCCATTGAGGACAAATTATTGTCTCTGGGAGGAAAAGAGCTTCCATCATTTGGCCTTTTTGAAGTTCAGTACAATCAGGATGACAACCTCAATCGTGAGGTTCTGCGTGAGACCACTTACGATATACTAGCTCTTAACCAAGACGTTTCAGTTAACGAGCCAAAATTACTACCTGCCCAAAGAACAGCATATGCAGCAATAATTGACAATGTCCAACATCAGAAGGGTGGAATCTTTTTCATTGATGCACCAGGAGGAACAGGGAAAACATTTGTTATCAACCTGTTGTTGGCAGAAGTTCGTCA